GCCTGCCTCCTCTTCCGTGACTTTCAGAAATTCGGGGGGTGGGCCCAGAAATGGGACTGAGCTGATTGACAGCTTCCTGAGGCATGCTCAAGGCACACACGGGCCCCCTCCATGAAGTAGGAATGAATGAAAACCACCATCTCTCTATCCGTCTCCCCTATCATGGCGGAGTCTTGTCCCATGTGAAGGCTTATCCTTTCCATACCCAGATCAGCACCTTGTACATGTCACAAGACTCAATGTATACTGAAAGAATGAATGTAGGCCAAGCCCGTCTCTCCCCCCCAGTTTTAAAAATGCAGAAATCGCTGGAACCTGTTTGGCTCAGTGGATAGAGGGTCGGCCTGCGGACTGAAGGGTCCCAGGTTCGATTCTGGTCAAGGGCATGTACCTGGGTTGCGGGCACATCCCCAATGGGAGATGTGCAGGAGGCGGCTGATCGATGTTTCTATTTCTCTCCCTTCCTCTCTGTAAAAAATCAATAAAATATATTTTTAAAAAATGCAGAAATCAAGGCTTAGAGAGGTTGTGTTGCTTACTTCTAGGTCAATCAGCAAAACAGACATTCTCAGAACACGAAAGGGTTGGTAAGCCAGGGATCGGGGCACCTGGTAACCCCTTACCTTAACTGCATGGACCAGGTCTAGCGGTCATCTTTCCAGGCTCGCATCTGCCTCCCCGAATGAGCAGGGAAGCAGCTCCCTCTAGTGGCCTCTGTAGGTAACTGCGCCTTCGTGGCGATTCCCGACCTTGGCAGCAAACTGGATCACCCAGTCCAGTGAGCTTTGACAATCGCTGAGTTCAGGGCCCGCCCCAGACCAGTTAAGTCAGAATCTCGGGGTGTGGCCCAAGCGTCAGTATTCTTCAAAGCTCCTCTAGCGATTCCAGTGTTCAGCCGAGACTGGGCCACAGATTTCGTGTGTCAAGAAACTGGAATGGAACGAACATCCGTAGAAAATAGGGGGATAGGCTGGGTCGCGGGTGCAGATAGAGAATCTGCTCGAATGGAATGAATGAATGATTTGCATTTGGCTCCCAGAGTTTTGTCAGCTTCATACTCTCGACAACAAATCTTACACGTGAGCATGCGTCAGGAAGCTGTCAATCAGATGGGTCAGATTTCTGGGCCCACACCCTGAGTTTCCGAGTCAACAGGCCCACGCGATTTCCAGGTGATGCCCAGGCTGCTGGTCGAGGACCACACTCAGAGAAACCCTGCTCTGAAAAATGGCCAGAGCGACATCCCCTTCACGTCTGCACCTGGGCCAGCAGCATCCCCAACAGTCCTCAAAACAGATACGCAAGGCGGGCGGGATGGCGGTCGGACTAGGGCAATCATGGTTTGTAAGCCCAACACAGATCAAGTCCTTCCTCTCGAATGCTTCTGGGTTGATAAGGTGGGGGAGGAAAGGGTGGGTTCATAAGGTCAGGGCTTGGGTTCTGGGCTTTCTCCCACCAAGTCCCAGCTCAAAGGGGGTTCTGTTATCTAGGAGCCCCTGTCTTTGTGGGAGCAGGAGAGACTTCCACTCCAGGAACAAAAGGTTGAGGTCCTTAATGGCGGGGTTGGGGGTACTGCCATCCACAGTCATGATGCCAGTATTGGGCCATCCCTATTGTATGCCTGGGAAGTTTTAACTTTTTGGCTTTATAATATTTTTTATCATAAGTCTAAGTAGTTACAAAGGATGTATCATCAGTATTGCCATCTTTTTGAAAAAGTGTCCTTAAATGAATGCGATGAAGTCTGAATACCACAGCAATTTGATACCAACATTATCTGTTTTAAAAGTGCATGAGAAGGACCTGAGGCATAAGGACAAAGCCACATGACAAAGTAGCGTGTTTAGGAACCGAGATGGACCCCAAACTGACCGTCTGCAGAATAGGGGCCCGGTCCTACAACTGCAAGGAAGTGAATTCAGCCAATAGCATGACTGAGCATGGAGGAAGGCCCCAAGTTTCAGGAAAAAAAGGCTGGCCATGGGAGATTTTTTTTTTTTAAGAGGAAAGGAAGGAGGCAGAAAGAGAGATTGATTTGTTGTTCTACTTATTTATTCATTCGCTGTTTGATTCTTGTATGTGTCCTGATCGAGATCAAACCCGAAACCTTGGTGTATCAGGATGATGTTCTAACCAACTGAGCTACGGGGCCAGGGCAGGCCATGGGATATCTTGATCTCAGTGTTGAGGAACCTGAGCACAGAACCTGGACTTCTGACCCACACAAACACCTCTATTTTAGTACATCCCACTTCCTGTCCACAGAGGAGATGACCCACCACAGGAATTCGGCGGATGCGGAAGGATTCAACATACTGACACCAAGATCTTTGTGGGAACCAGCAAGAACACTGCCTACCCCCCCCCCCCACACACACACACTTTCCTTCCCTCTCCTTAGAAAAGCCCACAACCCAGGCATGCGCCCTGACCAGGAATGGAACTGGCAACCTTTCAGTGCATGGGACTGCGCCCAACCCACTGAGCAACCCCGGCCAGGGCTCTCCTTAACTTCAAGTGTCAGTTTCCTTAGCTGTAAACCGGAAATTACAATGGTAGCATCTCACATATTGCCTGGCACACAGGCTCACCATAAATGTGAACTGTTTATGATTGTTCTCGTTATTTTGGGGGTTGCACCGGATCATCTGTTAACCACGCTGTCACCGCCCAGATCTGAGCAACTAGTCAGGCACTGTGAATCCTATTCTGTGTATCCCAGCGCTCAGCCACAGTAAGAATTTATGAGTAAAGTATTGCAAAAGGATAAACTTAAAAAAAAATAGCGCCGAAAGAGCAAATCTGATTAAAAATGTTTCTTTAGTGCCCATCCTGTATATTATTTCACCGAATGCCCACGACGACCGAGGAGGTAGCGCTGTGAACTCTGCCAGCCATGCTGCCTTTGGGGGCACAATGCTCACGGGAGGCCACGTCCCGACCCAGGGAGCGGGGTGCACTGGAGTCGGGGACAGAGACGGGAGAGGACCACGGGCAAGGAGGCCCCCTCCACTCCGGCCTTTTTAAAATTTCCCGCGGGCGCGTCCGGCTGGAAGCACAAGCCACGCCCCTCCAGGAATCCCGCCCCTTTTGCTGTCGCGCGCCAATCCGCAGAGAGCCAGGGTCTCTCAGAGAGCCAATCAAAAGGGGTCTTAGGCGGGCGCTGCAGTCCAGCGAACCAATCGGCGGGCAGGCGGAGCGGGGCTTGCCCGGGCAAGTGGGACCTGCCGGCAGCCGGGACGCCCACGTGCGGGCAGGAGGGGAGCGCCCGGCCTTCAGGTGATCGCGGGACCCTCAGGGACGGCGGGGCCGAGGCGAGTCCCCGCGTGGGGCCCCGCGCGTGTGTCCACCCCAGGTCTGCGGCGGGGGACGCCCGGACCTGGCCGACCGGCTCTCCGGGTCCGCGGGTGGGTAGGCCGGGCCTGGGCGCCGCCTGTCCCGAGTCCCCGCCCCGCTCGGGGGCCGGAGCCTAAGGGGTCGGCGGTGGGCGGGGGGCTGTGGGCCTCGGCCCGGGAGTGACCAACGCCCCAGCCCTTTCTCTGGGTGCGGCCTGGTCTTCCCGCGCGTCATCCTCGGGGGCGGGGGATGGGGCGGCGGCTGCTGGAGGGGCTCTGCGGGGCGCTCCTGGGCACTGCCTGGTGGACCCGGCTGGGGCGGGGTCGCGCGCTCTGAGACA